AAAGAGAAAGACTATTGTAGACTACTGCTTGGAGGTGTAAAAAAAAAAAGAAGAAAAAAGAAAGGAAAGGAGTTCTACTATGTACATGTTAGCTTGAAATGTTAAAACAGAGAAGTCAAGGAAACTATTGGATACAAGAGTCTAGGAACTCAGAAGAGAAGTCAAAACTGGAAAATAAACTGGAGAGCCATCAGGACATACAGACATAGATTCTGTGTTAAATTATAGGTGAATCAAAAAAAGAAAACCAAAAATTCACAGTTCCAAACCTTGAGATTTGGATAGAGAAAAGCGCAAAAAAGACTATGAAGCAGCACACCAGTAAACAAGAAGGAAGACTAAAACTGTAGCAACACAAAAGGAATCTTTTAAGGAGGGAGTGATCCACACAGCTAAGAGCAAAGGAAAGTCAAGAAAGATGAAGACAGAAGTTTCCATTGGGTTTGGCAACAGTAAAATCACTGGCCTCTTCAATAAAAATAATTTTGGCAGAGTGAAAAACTAACTTCAAGATAAAAGTCAGAGAAAGAAATAGCTGAGGATACAGAGAACATTCTTCCCTTGCACCAGAAACATTCTTAATGTGCTCTTTCCGGTCAGAAGGTAATTTAAATTAAAGGCAGACATACTGGTACACAGGGAATGAAGGTACTCTCTTGTACTCAGTACACCTTTCTGAATGCCTACAGGAAGAAGCTATTGCAATACACTAAAGCACTCAAGAACAAACATCTGTCACACATACATTATTCAAAAAATCATGCTGTATACTTAGAAAAAATAAACACTGTGGTCCATGAGAAAATCCAAAACTGCTTTGAAAATATATTTCTTATCTATAATTTTCTTTCCATGTGATAAACTCTAGTAAGGATTTCTGCACATCTGCGCTGGCCAGATTTGTTTTAATAGTCAAAAATATTTTAGAGAAAAGAAAAAAAGCTCAACAGGAGAAATGCCAGGACAGAGACTGGGTGGAGTTAAAACAGAAAGGAAAGGGAGAATCTAAGCCAACATGTAATCTGGAGACAATCAGATCCACACTAACCCAGAGTTCTAGGCTGCTTGCAAACCACTGAAGAAAATATTTTAGCAAATAATGATTAAAATAAAGAGCCAAAGAGCTAGAGTTAATGAGATTTTCTGGGAAAAAGATAAGTTATGACTGATGCCTTTTACAGAAGGAGATTGTCCTGATTTATGCCTAATGTCCTCACAGAATTTTTTCTCATGTAGGCTAAATGGAGACAAGCCTGGAACTATGGTCATATTCTCATTCAAGAGAATGGATGTAAATAAAGTAATAATCAAGAATGATTCCTCTATGGCCCTCAGCTTTTAAAACCTCAACATTAACAGTAAAAAATCTTTAGTAATTTTCAACTACAATACCGTGCAATGCTTGCCATTCTGTCACCCCACTTTGCTTTATTAGTCAAGGCCCCAGCTCCATTTGACTCTAATAAAAATTCTAAAAACACAGAAATTGTTTATCAGAAAGTACACAGCTTTGCAAATACCCACTCTAAATTTCTTTGAGTTAACAGAACACAGGAATTCTATTTTTATAAATCTGCTTCTATTGACAAGCAATATGAAAATTCATCAAGTCAGTATTAAATTATTACAAGGGAAGAATTTAGCAAAGATCACAATAAGTATAAATTTACTCCATGACTACAAATAGGTTCACTCATTCTGACATAGCATATCCACCCACAGATCAAACAGTAACAAATATTAGATAAATGAAATGTACAAACACAACAAACCAGCCAAAATGAAGATATTCCATGTGGTTCAGTTTTACATGTTTCATTATAAGTGTATATTGATGTACACAAATTGAGATTTTATAGTCACATCTCAAGAATTCTAAAACTGTGAAAGCTTTCAAAGTAAATTCATTCTTAGAATTGATCTTAAAAATAAAATTTATTAATGGCCTCAGCAATTCATCTGTTCTCCCAGTCAAAGCTGCATCTGAACAATTTCGAGGTTCAGTTATACTAGACAGGACTGTTTCAGTTTTATTAACTCAGTCAGGTCAACATGCCATCTCACCTGTAGCTGTTTTGCTGGATGATACCATCTGATGTGCCTTGTTCTTCTTTAGCAGAAAATCCTAAAAGATGCCTCCTTTGATTTTCAGGGCTCACATTAGGGTTCATCCTCCTGGGATCCTGTTCCAGCATACTAAGGGGGGGGCAATAATTGAAATTAAAATGTCACATATGTATATGTTACATGTACTCTAAAACAAACCAGATTTTCTTCATAGGTCAATACATACAGCAAATGCCAAAGAAGTCAAAACAGTGTACTGATGTGTAAATACTCTAGGCCTGACATCCTGCACATATTAAAAACAATTTTGAAAATATAAGTATAAATTCCCTTATTTTTAAACTGTTTAAACAAAAGCGGGGCCAGGGATTTAGCTCAGTGGTACCATGCCAGGTCAAACAAATGAACAAACAAAAGCAGTGTTCATATATTTTTAAACTCTATAATGGTGTAATATAAGTTATTATAGCTTGGATCTTAAATGTCCTTCAAAGGCCCACGTATTGAAGGCTAGGGCCCAGCCTTTAAGAGGTCTGGCCTTATGGAAGGAAGTGAGGTCACTGGGAGTAGCTTTTGAAGATCTTGGGACTGCAGAACCTCCCGTCCCTCTCTCTTCCCAGCCATCATGAGGTGTGTAGGCCTCCTCTGCCTCAGGCTCCCATGATGATGCACAGCGCTGCCATAGGGCCAAGTGAGCACAGGCTGTGATAAAATATTTTAGCTAAAATAAACCCTTCCTCTTTTAAATTGATTTATCCCAGGTGTTTGTTACAGTAAGAGCTAACTGACCCATATGTACACAAAGTAGAAACAAACATACATTCCCTTTAAACATATTTAAAACTCAGCTAAAAACTAAGGGGTCTTCCTGAGTACTCCAAACTGATGTTTGCAGTGAAGGAATATTTCAATAGTCAAATTCATTATTAGCCTTTCACAATTCCAGGAGCCAGGATGTTAACAAAAGCTAACAAAGATTTATTTTTAAAATACTTCTATACTTCTTTCTCCCCAATCTCCCTGATATCTTCATTCACCAGTATACAAAGAACTATAGATACTTCTGTGGAGTGACCTAAAAAACTAAGCTTAAGCCTATAAATAACTGCGAAGTTACATATGCTTTTTAAAATTAATACTTGAAAGTCACTGCCAGAATTTAAGATTAACTATGTATAATTATAATCTACAAATATTAAGAGATGAATGTGACAGTTTTTGTAATGGTCAAATACACAAAAAAGTATGAGAAAATTATTGATATGAACTTTTAGATTCTTGGCTTGAGTGTTTTTACATCATTCAAATGTTCCTTTTAGTTAACTCTGGAAAATTTAAATTTCAAGTACAAAGGGAGATGACTCAGTCACAGTAAAAGTTAGTAAAATGCTTATGTATCCATGACTGTTTCTAGTTTATAATATTAATAAAGTAACCCAACTAAATTCTTTTTATAATCAGATTGAATCAGCTTCTATTCAGTATTTTTAAATCAATTAATAAATATTGAGAAAATAGAAGTCTCTGTGGTCTCTGTCTCTATGATCAGAAACATACTAATCCACAAGAGTCATAATAGTTTTAAGCCACAAATAATCATTACACCAAAAACCTTGCTCATGTTATGGGCCAATGAGCCTAAAAAGCATGGATTAATAAAACACAAATGATTTCAATTTCCCCCAAAGTCTGGAAAAAGTATCATAACAATTGTTACTCTTTTCATTTATGAAATTCTTCTAAAAGCCAACAACTGTTTTAGATTATTTATGAAACCACTTAATCCTTAAGATACGATTTCAGATACCCAGTCTTGATACCAAATGGTTGAACATAAAATGGCACATCTCCAAATCTCTGCTCCCACAAACCTGCTTTCTTCTCATACAAGGAGGTCAATTTAAATTTAAGCCCTCTCAGAAGGTAAGAATCATACTGCTTCTCATCCTCAAAAGAAACCATATACTGCTGTTGCTCTGAGAACCACACACGAAAAACTGAATTATCTGAAGCTGAAAGGAGCATGGAAACCTTCAGGTTCTACTATGGAAAAGTACAAAGAGCACAAAATTTGAAGACAAAATATTTGTGTTCAAGATGTGACTCTGAGACTCCCTGTTTGAGTGGCCTTGGGAAAGTTGGTTAACTTCTTTAGAGCTCCAATCTCTTACAAGTAAAATTTTCTGAGATTCAAATGAGATGACAGATGTGAGCTGGCGGCAATTTACAAAAGCCCCAAAAGGACACAGAACAGTAATTTTACTGACGCCTTCCTGCCCACCTGGTTCAAGCTATGCACAACACAGCAAGCAGAATAGTTCTCTTAATCTAGGTCAGATTTTATGTCCACTCCACTGCTCAACTCCTTCAGATGGCTCCCCATTTCTATCATGATAAAAGCCCAAATCCTCAAAACAATCAGACCCTTACTACATTTGATCCTTCCCTTTACTTTGCCTCCCTCACATTATCTGCTCTTATTCCCCCACTTTCACAGTTAAGCCCAGTCACACAGATCTTCTTACTTGGCGTTGAAATGGCAAGGCACACTTCTACCGTAGGACCCGTGCAATGGTCGTTCCCTCTGTCAGGAATGCTCTTCCCCCAGTAGATCCATATGGCTAACCCTTTCATCTCCTTTAAGCCTTGGTTCAAACATCTGTTGAATGATCACTATTTAAAACTGCAACTCCGACAATTACAGTGGCACCTACAAAGCCATTTACCCTACCGTATTTTATTCCTTTGTTCAAACAAGTTACGTTATCATTTCAGTTATTAAGTTTATGGTGTCTTTTCACTACACTACATAGACTAAGGGGTATAGGGATCTCTGTTTTGTTCCAGGCCAGTGCCTACCTCATAAGAGGCATTATTTTTTTCTTTCATTGTGTGGTGTGGTGTGGTGTGCTTGTGTGTTTGTGTGTGTGTGTGTGTGTGTATGTGTGTGTGTGTGTGTGTTACTGAGGACTGAGCCCTGGGACCTTTACACTGAGCTATATCTTCAGCCCTTTTAATGTGAGAGGTTCTTATTAAATCACCAAGTTGCCCAGACTGGGCTCAAACTTTTGATCCTCCTGCCTCAGCTTCCCAGAGTGTAGGGATCACAGACATGCGCCACCATGCCTAGATTTAAAAATAAATAAATAAAAATAAATGAACTTTATGTACTATTCTGCCTCTTGTCAAGAGAGAAATACATATTTTCAGTTTAGGAAAACTAATCCACAGCTCAAATAGAAGGAAGTGAACTCATTATTACATTATTTCCATGTCCAGGAAGAGGTTATTAAGTTAATTTTCATTGATTGAAGCTAAAGGAAGAAAGGACAAAGAAGTCTCAAGGGAGTTCTCCAAACTTTAAAAAGGTTTTCTTCTCTGTTTATTGAGAGGTTCACAGATGATTTTTACAGGCTAGTAATAGCTGGGGGTGATTTACTAGAAAGAGATAAGTGGCTGAATAAAGAAATGGTCCTTCATGTGACGATAAAAGAACCCTCTACACAGCAGTTCTCAGAGCCAGGGGTTACCATACCCTGGGAAGAAACATGCACTTTACAGGGGCAATTTTCCAAGTGAACCAACATGAGCAAGAAAACCACCAGATTCTTTAATTCATTCAATAAATAATTATAAAGCAAGCATTATTCCAACAGGGGATGCTCCTTGAAATTCGACCACTATACAATGAGGAAGCCCAAGCTCCGGAGAGGCCCCAATGTAGATAAATCAAGAATACTGGCCCTTAGCCCTGGCTCAGGTCCCAGCTGAAAGCCAGCATCAACTTTCTGGCCATGTGAGTGAGCTATCTGGAAAGCGGGCCCTCCAGCCCAAGCTACTCCAAGAAACTTTTTGGCAAAATGATGATCAATGTTTAAGATTTGGGATGGTTTGCTATGAAGCAATAGATAATTGATACACTACATTTATTAGATTGCCAATACCAATGGATTGATGCTTAACATGAAAAGTTTGTCCATAAACAACTCTGCGGATAGCACATGCTCTCCTGAGGAGCTACAAGATATCCTTCTCTTGAGAAAGGTGCCCTCTGATTCTAAATGTCAAAAAACACAGCCATAAATTTGAATGCAACTTCTTTCCTGTTAAACTTAGATCAATCCAATCAGCTTATAAGACAAATATTTTCCCATTTCATAGCCAATCCTAAACTGTAGAATTGGCAGAGTGACTAGATAAAATTTCAATTCCTCTATCTAAAGGCCAACTTCCTTTTTTCCCTGCCTGAGTGATTATTGCCCTATCAATGATTAAAACAGAGTTCCAAAGGCAGACTGAGAAGCTAGCTTTACCACATATTAGCTGTGTCTTCAGATTCTTCATCTGTAAAATAAGGATAATTAATATCTACATTCTGGCACTATGAGGAAAATTAATTATTTCATATAAAGTGCCTGGATTAGTACTTGGTGCATAAACATTTGGTAAATAATTATTTACCAAACACAGAAAACAAGCCATCTTTACCAATCAAGTACAGACAGTATCAACATACAGTCAACATAGATTATTCTACAATAATCCTCACCATTTTATTCATCTTGTTTTCCAAATACCTTATATCCACTTATCTCTCACTTTTTAATTTACAAAAAAAAAAGGAAAGGAAAGAAAAATGAAAGCAAGTAATGCTGTTTTAATCAGAATTCTGGCAAAGGGGTTGAAACAGAAAGCCATTAAAATATACAAATTTCTGTACATTCTGTAATTCTAGCTCCTCAGAGGACATGGATTGTGATAAACTGACTTTAGACATACTAATGTCTATTTAAGTTCAGAAAACTGAATGCCAAAAAGTCAAAATGCACACATACCTATGATTCATGCTGGCATTAGCCATAAATTAAGCACAATCTGTAGAATGACTTCTGAAAAAAAAGTTTCAAATACTTACTGAAATCACAAAGCAGTGCAAGTCTAGAGACAAAAAAATTAATGGCAAACTGCCGAGAAGTCTAAGAAAGATATCTTTCATATATCTTTAGGTTTTAAAGTTGTCCTATTAGTATTAGGCTAAACCTATACTTAGAACAAAGTTAAGATAGTTATTCCTTTGTTACTTGTGTTTTGAAGAGTTTAAAAGGCACAATTTAATTTGGATGTTGAGA